ACAGCAGCAGCCAACTCTGGAGTAACTGTAGAAGACAGCTAATCATTAGCCAGTTAGCCTCCATTAAGGCCTGGCATCCAGGCCTGGTGATAAAAAGCCAAAGGACTCAGGGCTCACAGCTTAATGATACAAAGATCAGCACAGGATTTATGGCATCAGGGTTTTCTCCACAGGCCCCGGACAAAAGCCTTCTCCCTTCCTTCAGCCACTTCGCCACAGGGATCGAGTTCATAAAACCAGGAAACAATGCTGGAAAGTAATGAAATCTCCCTTCTGTGGTGGAAAGAAAAATCAAATGAAGGAGGCATCAATTTAGAAGGTAGGGCTTCCAATTGATTGGATGATAAATAAAGGCAAGGTGCCAAAAACAAACATTTCACACACTAGGAGTCTTACAGTGTCTTAGGCCACCGTCTTATTTGGTTTTCTTTGGAGGCTGACATTATAGTGCACTCAGAATTTATCGGCATTTGGTGAAAACCTGAGTGTACCATTTTAGGCCCAGAAGGTCAACTCTGATCACTCTATACTGAGTCTGAGCTCCACTGCCAGCGTTTGAAATGAAAACTAAACTTCCACCACAGCTTATCTATAACTGACAGACCCAGATATGTTGCAAGCAGTCTGCAAGGGCTGACATCATTCACACAGCCTCTAAGTGTCTGACTTCCCTAGGCTGATCAACTCCTGCAGCTTTTGAGAGTCCATCATCTCAGTGGTAAGGCATAAAAGATGGCGCTGTTCATCCAGTCATCCCAAATAACCCCCAGACATTAAACCACTAAACAGGTCAAACAATGCAGCCACAGTTCTTTTTTGTCCTGGACCATTGACCTGCTCATACACATCTTAAAGCAAAAGCAGAATCCAGAGGCCTTTGACAGCATTTTGGGACATGAGTATCCAGTTTGGTGTTTGCTAACACAAAGTTTCAATCTGTTATTCATAAAAATTTAGGTTTATAACAATTCTAATATCAGTGCATTGTGTAAGGATCAAAGATAGATAGGGGGAACTAGACAGCTGGTAAAATTACATTTAAGAATGATAAATCAATGTGAGACATTTAAGAATGATAAATCAATGTGAGAAAAAGCAAAACGATATTTCACACACCATAGTAGTGTATCATTATCAATTTCTCAATTAATTGATTCATCTACAAGATTACAAATTGCAAAACATGCCAGGAGCTCATTTTCAATGGTGACATGTTGAATCCAAAGATACTTGATTTATGATAACAAAAAAGGGACAAATTTCACATCTGACGATTTGGCATTTTTGCTTCACAGAGTTTTACAAAATTGATTTAACTTTTTGTTGATTGGCTACACGTTTCAATTGATTCTTTAAGCACTGAACTGGATCCATTAATCTTTGGTGGCAAAATGATTGTTAGGTTTAAAAGTCCACAAAACTCCCAGCATATACAGAAACAATCCGAATCTGTTTGACATCAATCTGCTTCTGTCGGTTTGTCATAAATTTGACTTCTGAAACAAGCCAACATTAGTCCAGCTTACTTTTGCAACGAGTGTCTCTGTGGGTGTTTCTCAAGTCTCTTATAAGCACCATTGTTTCCTTCACTTGCATCTTTTCCTTGTGCCTTTGTCTCACCCACATAAGATGTGAGGAAAAATGCAAGGACAGCATGAAAAGGGGGGAGTCGAAGAAACACATTATTAAAGACACAAGACGTCCTTTCCTTCTACCCTTCATCTAAAGCATACGATCACCAACTCATTTCTGAAAAAGGGGTGTGTTGGTTTACAAAAAAGTTCCACAAAAGGATGGTCTCCTGTATCTCGTGTATGGTCTTCTGGGTCCTCCAGAAGCCTCCTCAGAGCCAATATAAGACACTTGGAACATCCTCGGTTCTCAGTTGAGGACATACTGTCAGAACGATCATAAAAAGAGACCTGAGAAGCATCCTGTGACTCCTGCTGTCCCGTCCTTGGCTAACATATATACAGTACAGTGTGTCCGCTTGCACATCATATTCACTAGAAACATGTCCGACAGCATCTCTTGCTGGCTGACTGAAACTTCCAGAAGCGGAAGAAAAACTGTGCTAATATGTAAGAATGATTTGTTGATACACAACTAATTAGAAATGAATCCACTGAGAAACTAGACACAAATCCTGTTTTGGGTGACGAATGACAGAACTGGCGTAGAAATGTTCATGAGTCTCTAGACCTCTAGACTGAGTGAAGTGATGACATCATCAGCTGGCATGTGTTTTAAGACTATGTCACACCGGCTTCGTCCTTACTCATCTCAGGAGACATTCTCCATCTCCATCGCCACAGTCACCATCCCCCCCCATGTGCTGTGAATGCCTCCTCTGTGAGCAAGGCCAAGGATCTGCCAGCGGCCCCTCTCTTTGTGAGCTGAATGGGCATGGCTCGGCCACGTTTTAAGGCGCCCTAATGTACCATGGCTGGACCACAAAGGCAGCGTGGTAATTTGCCAGGGATAATGACGCTCCCTTAATTCGGCCCTAGGGGCCACAAACAGAAAGCATTAAAGAGAATCCCCATCCAAGGATGAGTCTCCTGTCTCCCCTTTTTCTAGGTCTCTTTCCACCCCTTATCCGTCTTATTGTTCTGAAAGGAGCTTGTTTTCTTCCGGTTTATTGTCATCCTGAACTAAATATCGATAAACAACAGCGGGGCTGGAGGAGACAAGATGCCAACCGTGACTGGAGCTCCTGATCTCCTCCCAGAGGAGCATCTTCAAAGTAGCCAGACAGGGAGCACTGCTGCCTGGCTTCAATGACACATATTAGGGAAGCTATTTAGGCCACAAATTGAATCAAGAATAGTAAGTAAGAAGGATGCAGGAGCAGAGTAAGAGGAGTACAACAGCAGAACATAAGCAAATGCCAGGGCTGATCCTCAGGGATATTAAATGGAGAGTGTGAAGTGGGTGGGATTGGATCAGGTGATAAACCCTAAAGATGAAGATTTCTTTTCTGTTTGTGATAAAGTTGTCACTACCAGTAAATTTAAAACTGATGGCAAATGGCACCTGGTGCTCTGCAGTAGATAAATCAAATGGTTATTTAAAGGGATGAAAACATTTGATCACCTTGTTTGGAGGATTTGTACATTTTCAAGCTGTTTTGAATAATAAGACCAACGCCATGGGTCTGCTCCATTTCCTCACATACTGTCATCGCTGTGCCTGAGGAAGGCAACAAAATATGCATCTTAAATTAATCTATATGATGTCTTAATCACGTCAGCTCAATGCAAACAAAAAGCTTAATTACTGTAAATACTTTACATTAGACAGTTCCCCAAAAGCCCAGTATTTATCAGGAGCTGTTTGGTAGTTGAGATGCTTGGCTCATATTCGTTGGTTTGTTTTGTGTTGAATTTACAAAGTACCACACTGTAGGAGTCCCAACATGCATTGTTGTTGCAACACAACTACTGTTTGTGCCATTATCCAATAGGAGAGTAATTTCCTGATCAACTGTCACTTCTTGTAACAAAGCAAACGGGTACGGGCGACTTTCCAGCAAATTCTAAGCACTGAGGCCATGGCGATTTTTTGTTACCAAACAGGTTTTCTTGCCGTTTTATGTCCAATGTGCTTCATTTTCCAGTGTGCGAACAATATTTACAAAAGACTAAAATGGATACATGCTTAGAAAAATTCAAAAGATTTGCAGGTAATTCAGGTCTGTTCATCCTGATCTAAGTCAAATAACCTACACTTATATATACACAATACTTCGGTGTTGGGCGATATTGCTTAAAAGGGTAGACCCATAACTTATGAAAATTATAGCCTGTACTAACGGTACAACTTTTTGTACAAACACTGAGATCGATATTTGAGGGGTTACTCGGTGTTTACCACCAAACGATTGATTAACACTATTAATGGAGGCACTTCCTCACCTGCTCTTATCACAAAACAACCTTGTTCATTCAGAAGAACAAGAAAATGAATGGCATTTCAATGCATTAGGAAATTAAATCATGATAAAAAAAACTCTTAAACTACTCTGGTTCGCTAAGAAAAGTCCAGGTTAAAAACAAAAAAAAAAGTAAATGATGAGGTATCCTGATTTTCTAGGGGTCTGGAACACATCACTGCCACATTGAGTGTTTAAACTGAGTGGTTTGAGTCTAGCCTGCAACCAGTGTGTCATCTCTCTGTCCTCATGTGCCTGCAACCAGTGTGTCATCTCTCTGTCCTCATGTGTCCTGCCACTGTCTACTACCTAATAAAGGCTAAAGTACCTGAAACAGCACAACGACAAATGCAAACAATGAGTCTAGGCTGATGAGGAGTGCAGTAATGAACATACTGTCTCACTCTGGTTGTAATCAAATTAATAGCCGTCATGTAAATGCCTTGACAGTGACTCCTGTGTGTTGTGGAGGAGGGGATGCCAAATGGTAATTGTGCACTTGTGTCACATCTCAATTGAACAATGATTTTACTATACGACGTCAATTAGGCCCAAGGCTGTCTGCCTCAGAGAGATTCACTGATTCACCTTCACAGAGAGAGAGAGGCGGACTCATCCATTAACAGCCTGTATGAAGCCCCTCCACCCGTGCACCCCCCCTCCCCAACTTTCCTGTCTCTCCTGCTTATCCTTGGCTCGTCTGCCTCCACTGCCACGCTCTCACCGGTACTTTTCTAATCACTTTGCTTGGATGAGAATAAAAGGCCTTCAACAAAAAAGACTGCCTCACTTTTACTCCTGAAGCTGCAGTGATTTGGGGGGAGGAAGAAAAGACATTTAGAAAACTGAAGAATAAGAAAGATTTCGCATCCTCACAGCAGAGATATCCACAAGACCCAAGAGAAGTCTGACATTTGCAAGCACATTTGAGTGCACAAGACAAAGAAAACTGAATTGTGGAACAAATATAAAGTGGAAATTCAGGTAAAAGATGCGGAAACTGGTTGAAGACATTCATGAAAATGACATGAAAAGTTTTGAAGCAAAAAGATGAAAGTGTACTCACCAGCTAAGCATCACTGGGGTGTGGGGACAGGGCGGAGAGGGCCGTCTGTCCTTTTCAAACTGATTCTGGAAGAAGGGAGAGAGAGAGAGAGAGGGGGGGGAGGGGTGAGGTTTTTCCAAGCTGC